GCGACAGGGAAAATCAGCTCGGCCACCTCCCTCTTTCCTTGGCAAAGGGCCATGCAAGAAATGAGCCCTACTATTCCAGCCATGCCTCAACTTGAAATCCATAGCAAGCAATCCAGAGATTGCATGAGGCCTTGTCTATTCCACGGTTAGCAAAGAGCAGAATGGTTCATGGCTCCACAAGCCAAGCTGAGCTCAGGCAAGCCCCTCATTGCACTGTATCCCTGGTGATGGCTGAGGGCTTGTAAGTGCTGAATGGACTTGCTTTAAAAAAGTATGTATTAAGTATTTCCACCTTGGGAAACATGAGGTCTCTGGATTCCATGCTGTATCCATTTTCCAAAACCATACTGCTCTCCTGCAGAAACTGCAAATATAATTTATCATGTCCTCTCATGTTGTAGCAGGTACAACCAACACTGCTACTTGTGCCTGTCCTTTATGCAGGAAGCACCAGACAATCTGTCACAGGGAAAGCACGTGCGGGATGACAGGTTCTTTTCTGACATACTATCTATCATCATGCAACTTGTCTATGGCTTTACTTGCAAAGTGCTGCTGATAAACCCCACTTTTAAGGTAGCTGGACCTGGGTCAATGTTTGATATGCCTTAGTAGAAGTGCTGTCCTGTGCCTCCAAGGACAGGTGCAAGTGGAGAAAAGTCCTGCAGGCACGTCTGTCATCCTTTACTGGAAAGGAACCAAGATGCAAACTGGAGAGTAATTTTCACCTGTCCTGTTCAAAGACTATTACTGGAGTGCCAGTCTACTAGGGCACTGAATGTTTCCAAATGCTCCTAACCCTCCTCCCTGTATTCCTGAAGGCAGCAATTAGTTGCAGGCAGCTTTCCAGGTTCTTCTTTCCAACCAGCTGCACACACCAGGTAGGTGCTGCAACATGTTTTTTCCTTTCAGTGTATTGAGTCAGTGGCTCAGTTATGCAACAAATCTGTTTCATGAATAATTAATCAAGTAAAAGGCAACTCTAAAAAATATTAATTGCAGCTCAAGAACTATACACTAGAGAGTTTTAACTATTAACTTATTTCAGGGAAAAAAAAAAGACTTGCAGCTGGGTGACAAGGGGGAAAAGAGATGAAGGCCAAGTCCCTTTCTAGACCATATCTTTGTATCAGCAGAAGGCCAAGTCTGGCTCCAGGGGTACAAAAGGAACACGTACTTGCATTTTTCCAATTTCATGAAAATGTCAATTACTGTGATGACCACAAAAGTCTACATGTGAAAAAAAAAATACTGTAAATTAATCTTGAGTTTAAAGCTTGTTTACCTTCTACTTTCCAAAGAGCATACCTTCACAAAGTCCTTTTCATAAAGAAGAGACATTTATTACCACCTGCTTTGAAGTACCTCCTTCCCCTTTTCTGCTCTACCGTGAGAAATGAATGTTTTGTACTTGTTTACTGGTCTCCATTTGCAGCTGTTATAGTAGAGCCAAAACAGATATTTTTAATCAGATAAAACTTTAGGTTATCTTTGAAGGAAGGGCTGTGTTATATTCCAGGTTCCTGATAACTATAGATTCAGCATGCTCCTTAAGGTTTTTGCAATAAGGAAAGACTCAATGTTGTGGATTTTCCTTAAACTGAAAACAAGCTCAGAGAATGAGGAAAATATTAAATCACTATTTCTGATGTGACAGGAAGTGAGAAGGGATAGATGTTTGGCTTAATTTAAACACTCCAAAGTTGCATCCTACCTTGAATGATCCATCATGACAGCACTGAAGATATTTTTTCAGTACAAACATTTACCAGAAGTAAAACCCATGTGTTAGGAAAGAATATTCTATCTTACTACTTTTTTACAGGAGGATAAGCTATACAAGCTGTTTAAGTAGCATTGCTTATTATAAACCTTAAATGGAACAATAGCAAATTTTTAAGAATTACTTACTGTGTCAAACTGCATTTGAATATAATACTTCCATAAAAGAGGTGTTTACAGATTTAAGTAACCTTAAGTGCATGAGTATACTTCTGGACCTACTATGTTTTGAAAAATCACTATTTGTTATAAAGGAAGCATGTTTTTACACTGGCAGGTTGCATTGGTGCCTGGTCACTAGACTTGCAGAGCTAGTAGGTCTAATCTCCACTTTTTTTATTCATGTTGCAGAAAAAAAAGTTTTGAACACTCCCTCCTGATACCTTTCTAACAATCTCTCTCTTCAGTAATTTGATTCCAAGCCTTCAGCAGCTATTACTTACCACTTCAGTGAAACCATTTTCATTAAAGCTTTACTAGAGACTGCCAATTTGACCGCACATTCTTTTAAGCCAATCCATCAGAAACTATTGATGTGCATGAGGAAGTTAAGGGCACTGGAGAATTACACTCCTCTGTTAATCACAGAACTGCTCCTGGTTAAGTTTACCTGTGCAGTGTAAGACTCAAATCTGTACCTAGCTCTAGACTAAGGCACAAAGTACCAAGCCAGCCTTGCTTGTCTACCTGCAGTATTTTTTGGTCTAATGTTTCCTCCAATCTAAACCTTTTAAGTACAGCGAAACTACAAAGATGTCACTCTTCAAGATGGATATCTAGGGGCAGATACAATTTTACAGTGCAAGTAAGCAGTGAAGTCCTTCTCCTTTTTAAAGAGAAAATGCACTTTGGGGCAGATTCCCATCAAAACAATTTGCTTTGCCTATTCCTTTCTCAAGGGAAGCTTGGAATTAGACTAATTAATGGAGTCTGTGATGTGATACAGCCAGCCTGCTCTTGGCAGGCACATCTTCCTGAATATAAATGCCTTGTAGAAAGATCAAGTTTAAAGTGTGAGAGGGTTGCTGTGTTTCCCAAAGATCACCAGGAGAGACAGTAATCAAGACTAGGCCAGAGAAGTTAACTCAGCAGGCCAGAATTCGTATAATTCTGTAATACAGCAAACAACTGCTGATTCAGTCCACATCACCTTTCAAGCCCCATTCTTTGGCAAACAGGCAAGAAAGATGTAAATGTGTTGTTTGACAGAAAACACAAAAGTCAGCACTCAAGTTTAACTAAAGGGTAAATTTTTTTTTATTCCCCGTTAAGACCGCCTCAAGGACATAACTAAATGTTGGAAACCCCACAGAAGGGCACATCCAGTGAATGTGGTGAAGTACAAAGTAAACAGCCCCAGGGGTTCAAATCGGGTAGGACCGTTGGCTAAGCAAAACAAATTGGAAAAAACAAATTAAGGAAAAAAAACAAATTAAAACTCTGCTGAAGATGTTGCACTTTCTTTTCCATTTACACTGAAAAAAAAATCGAATTTGACTAAATCCTTGCTCCTCTAACAATACATTCAGTCCTGGCTAAAGAGTTTAACAGGATGGTAACAGGATGACTATAATACAAAACGTTCACTACTACACTCTGTACACACCTGTTGTTCAAGCCCTCCCCCAAGCCCATGTAATGATGGTGCCCCCATTATTTGCTTGCTTGCTGGGCCTGCCTGCGGAGGAGGACGTAGATCTTCTCCTTTATCCAGTCTTTATTGTACGGCTGGTATGTCTGAGTATCAGCACGGTAACTAGAGAGAAACAAACAATAATGTAGTATCAGTTTGTCCTCCAGTACATCCACCAGAAGAACTTCACAAACAATTAGTGTCCTCAAGGGTATGAGGCAGAAAGTTGCGCACAGAGCACAAGTAATATCAGAAGTGGATGGGGATTGCCACTTAAAGAGATTTATCCTGTTCCCTGAAAACCAGTCAGTCAGCACATCAGTAGGAACCTGACATAAACCTAGATGCTCCAAGGACTATTGAGTGATTGGATCACAGTATGTTCACAGTTTAATTCATTAATACAAAATTACTTATGGGAGACAATGAACAGAGCAGCTTAATATTCTGGAGCTCAGAATGAGGGAGAATGTTTCCTAGTGGAACTAGTCTAATTTGTCTGGTAAGCCAAATGCTGCTTCTACACTAATTCAAGCAAGTGTTCATGTGAGGTTTCAAACGTTCCACTTCTGTTGATAGATTTTTTAGGAAATGAACAAAAGCACAATTTTCCAGAAGCAAAGGTAAACTCAGAGATAGATGACATTAGGATTCTTGCCAGTGGGCAGTGACAGCAAGCTTGCAGCTACCAAGAAGGGACACTTCATAGAAAACAAACTGAAAACAAGAGCCCACTGACTCATTTTCTTCACTACTTGGGGATAGTTGATAGAAGTAGCTCATTGGCAAGATTTCTTGCCAGAGCCAGAGAAGCCAGCTACTCAAGGCACTGCTGAATTGAAGCACAGTTGGACCAAAAACGGAAGGCAAACTGCATGAAGCTATCTGTGTAGATTCATGCCTTCCTTTCCCCTTTAAAGTTCTTTTATGAAGATGGAACTTTCAGTGAATGAGTCAAGAACTACTAGTCAGTCTTTAAATCTCAAAATCTCGGTACACATATTTCTAATCACATAAAGGTGAGATGGTCATTGGTAAGAAGCTAAGTAAAAATCCAGAGTTAACTCAAACAAGAATATTTTACAGTTCATACCTAAGGAAAAAAACCCTAAGAATACTGTCTCTAATGAGACCCCTGTTACTTAAAGCCCAGCATGACTGGTCTTTATATTAGTTTTAGGAACATCAGTGATTTCTGCCCCTGCCCCAATCCATTCATGATGGTTCAGAGGGAGATCACATTGTAAGTAATTTAGGAATTTTCATGAACACAAAACACGTCTGGTACACTGCGTGCTACATGTGCCATCTGGTGGAAAACTGTAAGCTGAAGCAGAACTTGGCACAATGTTCAGTTTACAAGAAAGGCACAGGACTGTACTAGAAAATAGTTGCTACTTCCTACAGCAAGCCCATTAGATAAACTAAAATGAAGTCAGTCTTTCCAATTGCATCTGTCCAGAATGATGACACCTACAGATCAAACATGGCAGAATGTCTAGGAATAAGGTAACTGCAGAAACTGTAATCCTGGCTTACTCACGCTGTTGAGAATTTTGGTAAATGGTATTTGTAATAAGTCATTATCTGTAACATAGATTCTGTAGGCACATTAGAATGCAAGGGAAAGCAACCTGATGCTCAGTGTTTTTAAAGTAGGTTTTTATTTTAAACTGGAATTAACTGGCAAAGGTTGTTCACTGTGCAGTTGTACAAGGACTTGTACTGGGATTTCAGACAGAGAAGTAGAGCTGCAGGAATGTCCATGCCAGATACTGACTTTTAAAGTTTCTGGAATTTTGAGCTCAGAAAGCCAAAATAGTGTTAGATATGAGATTTGTATCTTTATTCCTACAGAATTTCTGCAAAGTTGATGCCTTGTCAAATCAAACCAAATTTATGGTATTGAAAGTAGTCATGATCTGGACTAAGTGATTCAGTTACAATGTTATGTTCTTCATAGTGAAATTTAACATTTGATTTCACAGCGCAACCAGAATTGAGAGCAGACAAGACCACCTGAGCTTTGCCACAGCTTTAACACACAGATGAGAACCGAAGAGAATGTATTGACAAGAACACTCAAACAATCAGATAGGTCTCTCTGGAGGATTGATTAGTTCCTCAGTCACTTCATTATGATTTCCAGAAACTTCCACCTTGCTGTATCTTGATCAAAATAAACAATCAGCTGCAATGTGCTTCTATATACCTCTAGTACAGCCCTCAGCTGAATAAACTCCTGGAATCATTCTGCCTCCTTAACAACTGGACAAGGGTAGAGACAGCCCCGATGTAAAGATTCTAGCATTAATAATATATGTAGCTGTATTGAACTGTGGGGCTGCAGCATTTGAAATGCTGGGGGCCTCAATGTGACTAATATCCAAGTGGAACTGTCAGTTTCTAAGCTTTCATTAGAAATACTTTATTCCTATGCAGTTAATTAAAGTGGGGAATATGGCATGCCTGCTGCCTTACTAACATGCTTATTGAAAGGAAACCCCAGAATATTACCAGATTTCACATAAAACATGTAAGAGTTTACATGGAAGACTTGCAAGTTCTCTACATCACTGTAATGGCCTAGTACAACTGAACTTACACAAGACAGCTGAGGTCTGCCAAGTCATCAATGAAGTCAAACAACTGGCTGATATCATATGTAATGGATGGACTGTTGGGATTCATTCTCTTCAGATGCTCTTCATACATTTTACAGACTCCTACAGAGAAAAAAATATTACCAATGCAATATTAAAAAAAAACAGCAACTGCATTTGCTGAAACTTCTTCAGCTATGGAACCACAGGTATGAGGAAAATGTAGAAATTACTACCATGAAAACAGATGTAAACTTCTTACTCAGATTTTGCAGAGTTGCAATGCTTCTACTCTAGCTATTTGCACTGAAACATTGTACTATAATACAGGGAAAAATGCATGGACAGAAGCACCAAGAAGGAAAAGTTTTATTCTGTCAAAGATGGAACTTTCCAAGCAGTGAGCTCCAACCAGAACCTTCTAATAATTTGAAGGCAGCAATTGCAACATATATCCCTACTGTACAAGCACCTGAGAAAGAGAACTAATGTCAAACAAAGCTACTCAATTCTCAGAAGGTAAATAATTCTTGATGAGAGTCAAACAGGGCTACTGAGGTAAGAGTGGCATCACAAGACTGTATATTAATTTAAAACAGTTTTATTTAAACTAGTCCATAAATAATTCAGATAAGTTTGTGAAGAATATAGTATTAAAATATGCTTTTGTTTGCCATGCAAAACTTCCTGGAAGTAGAACCTTTAATGTTAAGTTCCACATTTAAATCATACAGTTGTAGTAGTTCAACCTTCTTTCCAAGTTCACCATCTCTTGAAGTCATGCAGAATTTCTCTGGCACACAAGCCACAAGGCTGCAAATTATGTATCAAATGCAGAAATACTTTCATTTTAGGTATTATTTCTAGCAGTGATCTTTTCTTAACATGGCTAGCACAAAAACTGGTGAGAGAGTTTGGCTCTGGTCCTGCAATGATCCTGCATTCAGACAAGTCTGCTGCATGGCTGCAGCAAGAATATTGCCTCCTCTAAGGAGCTGAATGTAGTTCAATCTAGTTAAATCACAAAGAGAGATTTAATATAAAAAGTAAGTTTCAGAAACAAAGAATAGCAATTTTTAGTTTGCTAAAACATCATAAATGAAAAGCATAAGACATTTTTGGATTTTACTGTGATGTACCCTAGGAAAACATCAACAGAAACTGCTTCTAGCTGAACATGTCTGGGAATATGTAAAAAATGGGGTTTTGACAGCAGTTTTTGCCTACCACATCTGCACCCACCTTCCATGCACTCATTCACTGATTCATAATCAGCGTATGTTCTGCCTTCTGGCCTCTTGGTAGGCTGGACAAGTAGAATTGTGTGAGACTGGAAAACAAAACCCAAGAAAACAGGTTACTTGCAAAATCTGCATCATTTTTTGTTTGCATTAAGTTATTTATCTGAATTAAGCACTATTAAACGCTGAACTAACAATCAAGGACACACATACTTTTCAATTAGCACTTACTGCTCATGTAAAATGTGCTAATAATTTTAGTTTCCAGTAAGTCCTATGAATAAATACTTATTCAAGTTTAAACCATGGAAAATCACCAGTGAAGCAGCTAGTGTTAAAAAAAAAACAGCCCATAAATAGTATTTTCTATTTCAACAGAAAGGCAAAGCAACGAAGTCAACATACAAAAGCTATGCCATTAGGGCATTTCTTTATTTTATTCCAAAAGCAAGCTGTTAGTATGATTTTAAATACCCCAGATAAAGAGCAAGGAGGGGCTATGTCAGTCTTGCCTTAAAAAAATTTAACACAAATAGTTACTTGGTCTTATTGACTCCACTTCAAAGGAATACAAATTATACAACAAATCCACACTTGGTATTCAATATTATTTCCTGCAAAACAGATGTGCTGATGTTTCACACTTCAGTGAGTCTACTGAAACACTAATTATGGCACAGATAACTGTTCCAAATGTCAGTCTGTAAGCTTGATCTTCTGCAGGAAAGACTGAGATAATTGCACAGTCTGTTGCTTGGATTATTTCTATAATATTTTTCACTTAGCTACAGCAAGTAATTTCAGCAAAGAACAAGTAAGATTTTTGGAGTGTACACACTCTGTGATCTAATTAACAGGTTGCACAGCACAGAAAGTTTGCAAGCATGCCATAAAACACCATTTTCAGTGCTGCTAATTGGATCCAACATTTTTTATGCTAATATATGAGGTGAGCATGGAACATGTAATATTCATGGAGCTAACTGCAGAGTAAGACACACTGGAAATAAATATCAAAGTATAGTATTGGGCCAATCTATAGAAAAATCCTGACCCTTGGACATATCACTGAAGAGATCACTTCAGCGTTCAAATGCAGCAACAGAAAAGAAGAATGGCAAACACAAGGATGTACAAGGAACATACAAGTGAATAGTGCAAAGGTTTGTACCATGATTGATAGTGTTGCTGTGCCTGGAATACAGTTTTTAGTTCTTTGAATTCTGTCTCAAATAACATGAATATTCAAAGAAGCCCAGGGAAAAGTTACACAGAGAAACAGAAGCAGTAAGACTTTTCCCAATCAGAATTGTAAAAAGAGGGGAATTCAGAGCTACATGCTGTAACAAAAATCATACAAAGAGAACTTGGCCATTTAAGTCCACTTGCATGTGTGCCAGAGGATCCTAGATGTGAAAGGAATTCCCCAAGGAGGGCTGGTATCTAGCTCTTCCCAAGCACATTGTGCTTGAACAGGCATGTCCTGCCAGGGGAGTCCAGATGACTCTGCCAGGCTTTTATTACCAAGTACTTTTTGCAGCACTATCATTGTTATTGATCGGCCACTGATGACAAGCCTTGGTTCCAGGACTTGCAATTCCAATTTCCTTAGAGCATCTGACTAAGGTTCCCTTATTAATACCCAGGGACGAGCTGCATCAGCCAGTTCAACTAGGGTGTTCTGAAAAGAGCTGTGTGATTTTAGCATCAGTGTCTTGCAACTGCATTTGTGGGGTCTGACTAGATACTCGTCCTTCCCTCTTCAACTCAACTAAGTATTTTAACAAAATTGGGTTTCTTTGACAAAACCTAAGAGAGCACAGATAGAACAGAACTGAGCAGGAGTTACAGAACTGTAACGTAACTGAGTGAATTCTGTACAAGAACTTGAAGGTAGAAATTGTTTGGGTTTCGGTTTCTGACTTTAAACTGTTTATCACTTCAGACACTTTACAACATCCCTATCAGATACTGGCCTGGAACTTATTAAAATTCATGCCATTGGGACCACCTGTATTGCAGCAATAATGCGTGACATCTCAAATGTTTCCTTGGGAACTTGCCGTTACTTTACCTTAAGAGGAGGAAGGGGGAAATAGTTGCTTGATTTGATAAAATTGCTCCTCCCTTCCTACCACAGAAGAGCACAAAACTGACAAGTATAGAAACCTGAGAGAAATTTCCTCCAGCTATTACCTGCCCCACTGACTGTATGCCTAGGTGACAGGGCACAAATCAGTGTGATTAGTAACTATTATGTGTTTCTGTATGTGTCTTATTGTTAAAAAAAAAGAGAACCAAAACCAGGGAAGATCCATAAGCCTTCATGCATCAGGGCAAGTTTAACTGGAAAAGCCCAATATGGACTCTAATTATGATGCATATGTTGGATTTCCTTGCATTTTCTTTTAAAGCACAGCTGTACTGGCTGTACTGCACTTCAGAAAGCCTTCCAGTTATTGACACAACCTTGTAAAAATGGTTAAGGCAGGGCTGGCAGCCAAACTATCAGGGCTAAGGAGCCAGGCAGCATCTGCCCAAAGCAGATTCTAACAATTGTAGTCTATTTATAGACACTGAAGTAAAAAAAAAAAAAAAAT